AGTATCATGATGATGCTGCTGCTGATGATGATGTTCCCCAATCAGATCTGTAGGGGTCCTAGCGGATTCATATGTTTAGGTTGGGTTTGCCGCCGATTTTCGCCGCACGCCCGGGTGCCCGGGTGCCCGGGGATGCCCGGGAGCCCGGGTGCCCCGGTGCCTGGGTGCCCGGGTGCCCGGGTGCCCAGGTGCCCGTGTGCCCGGGTGCCCGTGTGCCCGGGTGCCTGGTTGCCCAGGTGCCTGGGTGCCCAGGTGCCTGGTAGCTCTATGTAGCCCGATAGCCTTATAGCCTTGTAGCCCTAAAGCCCTAATAGCCCTACAGCCTTATAGCCTTATAGCCCTATAGCCCTATAGCCCTACAGCCCCATAACCCTATAGCCGAATAGCCCTATAGTCCTATGGCCCTGTAGTCCTGTAACCCTTTAGCCCCATAGCCTTCTAGCCCTATACCCTTATAGCCTTATAGCCCTAAACTGATTATGATTGGGTTTTTCTCTGGTGTCATTTAGGAGGAGGGTGATGAGGATGAGAGGGGTATACAGGAGGAGGGAGGAGGACGGAGGATAGGAGGGAGGAAGAGGAGGGGAGGAGGGGGGGGAGAGAGGAGAGGAGGGGGGGGGAGAGGGGAGGGCGGAGAAGAGAAGAGAGAGGATGGGAGGATAAGGATGGGGATGATGAAGAGGAGGAGGAGGAGGAGGAGGAGGCGGAGAAGGAGGAGGCGGAGGAGGAGGAGGAGGACACGCATTTCCAGTTCCCAAGATAGACGATCCCGTGTAAATCGCGCCAAGTTCGCGCTCCGAAGCCACACCTCCTGCTATATTACGCCCGGTTCGAGCCCCCGAGGCCACAACTCAGTGGCGAGCTGCGAGCAGTCTGCGCCCCCAGAGCCACAATGCTTGGTACTCTGCGACGCCCTGGCGCTCCCGATGCCAGTCCCCCGTGCATCGCGCCAGGACCGCGCTCCCCAAGCCACACCCCCCCCCTCCTCCTCCTCCTCCTCCTCCTCCTCCTCCTCATCCTCCTCCTCCTCCTCCTCCTCCTCCTCCTCAGCCTTTCTCGTACATTTCAGCGAGCTTTCGTGCTCGAGGCAGCAGGCCATTGGAAAGCACTGCGCGCTGGCGCTCCCAAGGCCACGCACACCCACTCCACGGAGGCCGCCCAGACGCGCCCCCCACATCTTCAGAGCGGAAAAGCTACCATGTTCTGGACTGGGATCTGTGCTCGAGGAAGGCGCTTTTCGGTCCTCCCGTCGTTTCCTGAGAATTCGGCTCGGGGCCCGAGGCCACGAAAGAGAAGCAGTAGCCTGGCGAATGGCCCAGCCATGTGCAATTGTATGTAACGTCGTTGTGCGTATCGCCTTCGGTGGATCCCCTTCTGGGGCTACGAAACACGTGAAATGGGTGCCGAAATGCGTGGCGGGAGCGCCATGCGGGCGCTGCAAACGGGGCCGTACTCCCGATGGGGCCGCAAAGCGTGTAAGGTGCCGACATAGGTGGCGGGGACGCATGCGGACTGCGCCGCTGGGACCTTCGGTGGAACTCCCTGTGGGGAAACGGAACGTGTGAGGCGGTGTGCCGAAATGAGCGGCGAGGGCGCATGCGGGCTACGCCACTGGGACCTTCGGTAGAGTTCCCTATGGGGCCACGAAGCGTGTGAGGGTGTGCCGAAATTGGCGGCAGGGACGCATGGGGGCTGCACCCCTGGAACCTTCGGTGAAGCTCCCTATGGGGTCACGAAGCGTGTGAGGGTGTGCCGAGATGGGTGGCGGTGGCGCATGCGGGCTGCGCCACTGGGACCTTCGGTGGAACTCACCATGGGGCCAGCGGGACTCCCTACAGGGCCACCGGTGGAGCCCCCTTGTGGGGCCACGAAGCGTGCGAGGGTGTGTCGCAATGGGTGGCGAGGACGCATGCGGGCTACCCCACTGGGACCTTCTGTGGAGCTCTGTATGGGGCCACGAAGCGTGTGAAGGTGTACCAACATGGGTGGCGGGGGCGCATTCGGGCTGCGCCACTTTGATCTTTGGTGGGTCTCCCCACCGGGCCACGAAGCGTGTGAGGGTGTGCCGACATGGGTGGCGAGGACGAATGCTGGCTGCGCGACTGGGTTCCTCGCTGGAGCTCCCTACGGGGCCAAGACGCGTGTGAGCCAGTGTGCCACAATGGGTGACAGGGACGCATGCAGGCTGCGCCGCTGGGACCTTCTGTGGAGCTCCCTACTGGGCCACCAAGCGTGTGAATGTGTGCCGAAATGGGCGGTGTGGACGCATGCGGGCTGCGCCACTTGGACCTTCGGTGGAGCTCCCTGTGGGGCCACGAGATGTGTGAGGCTGTGCCGAATGCGGGCTGCGCCACTGGGATCTTCGGTGGAGCTCCCTATGGGGACAAGAAGCGTGTGAGGCGGTGTGCCACAATGGGTGGCGGGGGCGCATGTCGACACTGGGACCTTCTGTGGAGCTCTGTATGGGGCCACGAAGCGTGTGAAGGTGTACCAAACTGGG